AAAATGCATCAAGTCCACCTAACCTACTGGACATCACGGCTTAGCCCAGCCTCCCTGGAACATGCTCAGAACACTCACATTAGCTTACATTTGGGCAAAATCATCTAAAACAAAGCTTATGTTATAAGAAAGCGTTGAAGATCGTGAGCGGTTTATTGAACACTGTACGTTACATAGAAATTGCCACCATTTCGCACTGTTGTAAAGTCAAAACACCAGAAGTGGGACCATCAGAAGTTAGGAGCTCTGTATTGGAAAGCTGCCAAGCTCATGGTGGTAGATCCAAGTTTCCAAAAATTCCAGTTTCACTTGAAGCCTGCATTTTATCATTGGCAGCAAACACTCGATTGCTTTCCTTGAAGCTCACGTCATCCGTTTCCAAGGAAATGATGTCTGTCAGATACCCACCTCTGAATTACCATAGTTTGTTAGTCGCTCTTCCAGGCAAAAACAATGTTCTGTGAACAGAGTGGAAATTCATGTCTGGAACCAACCACCCAGGGCTTTCGTGGAGAAATACCAGCCACTGTGAGCAGCCCAATTGCTCTCTGCCTGGGACATTTGAACACAGGTTAAAAGGGCTGAGCTATAATGACATGGAGCATTTTACTGCTTCATTTGTAAGTGAAAGTGGCATTTGTTTTCCCTCCCCATGCGCAGTGGTGAAGAATACAGTGGCCACAGGGGTTTGGTGCCTCTGCCATTCTCTGCTAGGGCGCAGGCACGCTCACCCACGGCTGCTTTTGCATCATGAGTGCAAATACCAACCCGGTGAACCGAGGAACTAAGTAACGTCTTTGCATTATTATGAATACGGTTTTAACTTGATGGTTAAAACCTCCTCCCCGGAGGAGCCTCAGGATCTCCAGGGGGCCGGAACCACTGATCTATCGTTCTCCAAAGTGAATTATTTCAGCTTTTGGGGTCCTCCCCAGGTAGCATTCTGTGATTTGCAATAGAGCAATTGTGAGAATGTCCGTAACAGGAGAGGCTTTGCATGGACCTGAATAAGGAGGGGCTCGCTTTTTGCTTGAGAGTTAAGCCAGGACTTAAGCATCCTCCTTTTATTTTTAGATCTAAATTGTATTCACCTTCCTGCCATAGATCCTTTGTGAAATGGGGTAGTCGAGCCTGTCAGGATCGAGAAATTAAAGCGAAGTGCCTGACACATGGAAAGAGGTCAGAAGGGGCAGGAGGGGGCAGTGGGTGTTGATAGAGGGGCAGAGGTGGGTGTGTGGTCTCTGGGCACTGTGGGGTGGGTAGGAGTCTGCCAGTCCCGGTGGGTTCTAGTAGGAGGGAGACATGCATGTCTCTCCTGCAGGGCTGTAAATGGGAGAATGCTGTAAAGAACAAGGGCTGGCATTACATTCTGCATTAAACATGAGGCCCATTTTGACATTTACACGTACAGATTTCAGTTTGAGTATTGAACCGTGGGAGGCTGTCTCAGTTCTGCCTTCCTGGGGTCAAACCAAACGGCCCGTTTTCGAGAACAAACAATGCTTTGCCCGAGAGTAGGGCAAATGGTAATCACGGACACACTTATCTCTGTGCCCGAGCTGTAGCTTTATAACGTGGGATCTTCCTGACAAGTAAATTACTGGATTCCTTTGCCAAATCATTAGATAACTTTTAAGTGCAACAGACGTTCATGCAAAAGGAGATTCAGCATTATCTTGTTGGAACAATAGTCATCATTTTTGAAAAGCAAGGACATTCTGTGAAGTTTGACCAACTGTGAAAATTATGGGCTTTCTTCCTTGTACTCCCCCCACGCTTTTCAATCAATCAGTTCCTAATGGATGAAACATTTCCCACATTTGTCACCAGATAGATGTGCCGGTCAATTAAAATATTCTGACTTCACAGGGTTGAGATAATAACCAGCCTCGATCCATCCGTCACTGTGAAATAGAAGGTGACCTTCCTGTATTGAGTCAAAGACCCAAATACAATTGCTTTGATCTTATCATAGCCAGAAATTACTGCTCATCTAAACGTAATTTCCCAGAAATACTGAGCGGGCAGAGCTACTGCTGGAAATGCCGGAACATTGTAAAGAGACTGTGGGGTGGCCTTGGGGATGAAAGGAAGTGCAGAAACCAATGAAGTGGAATTTCCTGGGATGTTCTGTATCTAGTAAAGGCTAGATACAAACCTTCACCCAGAGAGATTAGCTAAGCATGGGTACCACCCACTGGGGCAGCCACACCAGGATTGGACTCCCTGGAATCTGACCCTTTCTTTCCATTCTCACACTTCCAGGCCAGGGTCCTAGCCTTCCCTGTCTGTCTGAAGACCGCTCTTCTGGGGGTGGGGAGCAGGAAACCCTGTCTTGGGGTGGAAAGGGCCTGTGCTTAGGAGTCAGGGCCAGCTTTGGATTCTCACTTCCTCTGTTTGCTTATTCATTCCTCCAGCATGGGCGTTGGGCCAGGCGCAGGGCACTGTACGGGTGGCTCCTCTGGCAAGTGCAGTCAGGTTTACCCTCCTCTGTAGCCTCAGACACCCCGCAGCCTGCTGTGTCCACCCACCTCTTGCCCCCACTCCGATGTCCCCTCCCCTGCAGTCGTTCCAAAAGACCTGTCATTGCTGCTGCTGGGCCTGGCTTCTGCAGGGCTGGGCCATTCCCCTTCTCCAGGGAGCCCCTGGTTCTGTTTGGAGAATCTTGCCAGGTGCTGGTCCTTCCCCACTCTTAAGGTGGAAGCCTCTATAACTGGATGGAGAGGGGCGTATCCATCTGTATGTCATTCTCTGGCCAGAGAAAATAAGTTTCACCTTTTCTGAGCTTGAGTT